ATATAGTTACAAAGTTTTTCCTAATTTCTACCTAAATCTCCCTTGCTGCACATTAAGCCCATTCAGTGGACATGGAGAATAATTGAAAACCACTGATGACAGTTGTCGCCAGAATTATCAAAGCTTGACCTATTTGAAGACTGTTATCAGGTCTCCCCCCAGTCTTCTTTTCTCAAGACTGAATATTCGAGAGACTTGGCAAAACTGCATTTGTTGTATGTATTGTTAAAATTTTCAAAAGACTGCATGCAATCTCCTAGGAGTGCACAAATACCTATTAACTTGGGCACTTAACTGTATGCAAATTGGGTTTGTGTATAGCAGGGTTAATCAATTATTTTTTGTCAAGGTCCAAATTTCTTGGTCAAGGTCCAGACTCCAGAGAAAATAATAAAAAATAACAATAATGATAAGTAAATAAGATTTGGGGGCCCATTCAAAGGCATCTGACAGTCCAGATTGGGCCTGTGGTCTGCCTTTTGGCTACCCCTGGTGTGTAGGAATTTCTGCACATGTCCCAGCACTTTGGAACCTCAGGCACTATATGATGTTGGTTATCAGATGAATGGCATTGTCAGGCTAATTTAGGCTAATTTATTTCTCTTCCTTTGTTGGTGTGAAGTGAAAAAACTCATTTAAAATGAAAAATTGGCTGACTATTTAAGGAAAAAAGTGAAACTACGTGCACAATGCTGTCAAATATACACATTAAATGGAACAAATAGAGAAACATATTTCAAATACAGCAATCTTATATTGTATAATACGTGATTAGGTAAGAACAGTAGTTAGTGATTTATTTTATTTTTTTAGTGTTTACTGTGCAAGATCAGTACAAAACATTTATGTGGATTAAACAAAATTCAAAGGAAATTATTAATGCCAAGCAAAACACATTTTACTTGATGGGGTATCAGACTAGACTAGAAATTGATTGCATGTGCCAATATGGCAAGTGTATATACTTACACAATAATAAAGATATATTTAAAAAAATCTTGGACTAACATCAGCCCATTCTGCAATAAAAAAAGGAGGAAGGGTTTTATAGAACCACAAGGTTTGCTGTGCTATTGTGCTACTCCCATCTTTAAAATCCCTCCTCTGCTTCCACATGCGTGAAAATTAAGGCTGTCAAGTGATTAAAAAAATTAATCGCGATTAATCGCACTGTTAAACAATAATAGAATACCATTTATTTAAATATTTTTGGATGTTTTCTACATTTTTAAAATATATTGATTTCAATTACAACACTGAATACAACATGTACAGTGCTCACTTTATATTTATTTTTGATTGCAAGTATTTGCACTGTAAAAAAACAGAAATAATATTTTTCAATTCTCCTAATACAAGTAGTGTAGTGCAATCTCTTTATCATGAAAGTTGAACTTACAAATGTAGAATTATGTGCAAAACAACTGTATTCAAAAATAAAACAATGTAAAATTTTAGTGCCTGCAAGTCCACTCAGTCCTACTTCTTGTTCAGCCAATGGCTCAGACAAACAAGTTTGTTTACATTTGCAGGAGATAATGCTGCCCGCTTCTTGTTTACAGTGTCACCTGAAAGCGAGAACAGGTGTTCTCAGGGCACTGTTGTAGCTGGCATTGCAAGATATTTACGTGCCAGATGCCCTAAAGATTCATAGATCCTTTGATGCTTCAAACACCATTCCAGAGGACATGCTTCTATAGTGATGATGGATTCTGCTCGATAACAATCCAAAGGAGTGTAGACTGACGTATGTTCATTTTCATCATCTGAGTCAGAGGCCACCAGCAGAAGAGTGATTTTCTTTTTTGGTGGTTCGGGTTCTGTAGTTTCCGCATTGGAGTGTTGCTCTTTTAAGACTTCTGAAAGCATGCTCCACACCTCATCTCTCTCAGATTTTGGAAGGCATTTCAGATTCTTAAACCTTGGGTCAAGTGCGATAGCTATTTTTAGGAATCTCACATTGGTACCTTTGTGTTTTGTCAGATCTGCAGGGAAAGTGTTCTTAAAATGATCAACATGTGCTGGGTCATCATCCGAGATGGCTATAACATGAAATATATGGCAGAATGAGGGTAAAACAGAGCAGGGGACATAAAATTCTCACACAAAGAGTACAGTCATAAATTTAATTAACGCATTATTTTTTTAACAAGCGTCATCAGCATGGAAGCATGTCCTCTGGAATGGTGGCCGTAGCATGAAGGAGCATAAGAATGTTTAGCATATCTGTCACGTAAATACCTTGCAATGCCGGCTACAAAAGTGCCATGCAAATGCTTGTTCTTACTTTCTGGTGACATTGTAAGTAAGAAGAGGCCAGCATTATCTCCTGTAAATGTAAACAAACTTGTTAGTCTGAGCGATTGGCTGAACAAGAAGTAGGACTGAGTGGACTTGTAGGCTCTGAAGTTTTACATTATTTTGTTTTTGAGTGGAGTTATGCAACAACAAAAATTCTACATTTGTAAGTTGCACTTTTATGACAGAGATTGCATTACAGTACAGTGAAACCCCGCTATAACATGATGATTGGGGTCCAAAAAATTAGATCGCGATAAATGTGGGGTCACGGTATAGCGGGGTTACAAAAATTTCAAGCCGGTCAGTTTCTCTTGGGCAGAAAACGACTTGCGTTCGCGAACTGCCTATAACAGTAACTGAAAGGGTGCAGCTCCAGCAGCGGGGCTCTCAGCCATGCAGCGAGAGAGGGAAACACTTGGGGAGAGCAGGGGAGACGTGCAGGAGGCAGAGGAAGAGTGAGGAGCAGCTGGGGAGGAGACTGGCTCTTGTCAAAAGGAGAAGTGAGGGTACGGGGGGAAGAGGCAGTGGGGAAGGCACTTTTTTTTTTTTGCTTCGGCTGCGCCCCCGCTGCTTTTTTTATTTTTTATTTTTACTTGGGGCAGCCGGAGCCACCTTATGCATTATATCCAAATTCGTTATCGCGGGGTGCGTTATAGCGGGGTTTCACTGTACTTGTATGAGGTGAATTGAAAAATACTATTTTTTCTGTTCATCATTTTTACTGTGCAAATATTTATAATAAAAAATGATGTATACTTCGATTTCAGTTACAACACAGAATACAGTGTATATGAAAACGTAGAAAAAAAATCCAAAATATGTAGTACTTTTCAATTGGCATTCTATTGTTTAACAGTATGATTAAAACTGTGATTAATTTTTTAAATCACGTTTAATTTTTTTGAGTTAATCGCGTGAGTTGACTGGGTGTAACCGACAGCCCTACTGAAAATCTAATCCTTCTCCTCTTATCCAACATAGTCATTTATCTGGGGCTGGGAGTTGGGATTCAGCTTCCCAGCTGCAGAACAGATGAATGTGTCTGTCAGGTTACCTTGCTTTGGTTTGGACAGCTGTGGAGCAGAAGTGGGAAAGCAGGATGGAGGCCCAGACCAGTAAATACACTGATATTAAATGAAGCTCCAGTCCTGAAATGGGTGACTTCCCACCATGCAGGCAAGTGTGTAAGGCATGATGTTAAAAGTCATGTTTGCCTGGAACCCTTAGAAGCCTGGTGGGGGCTGTGGGCAGCTGGTGCCTGAGAGTGCCTTGAAGAACAGTGGAAGACAGTTAAGTTCTCTGCACTAGTGGATTAACTGGGAATAGTTCCTGCAGTGAGGGGGAAGGGTGCAACAGTTGAGCAGAGCAGTGCCCTAATATGCTAAGAGTTAAATAGAGAAAGGGTGGAGGGAGTTCTGCATCTTGGGAAATTGTGGACTGGTCCACTGGCTGGACATACAGAACTAGACCCTTGGGTAAAGCCCAGTAGATGGTCTAGTCTTGGCCTGACAATTCTATGTACTTTCTAGTACAAACAGCACAGCTCTGTAGTAAATAGTTGAATAGCTGCCACTCAGCATAAGTGTTTGAAGCAATGTGACTTTTTTCTGAAGAAAATACTTTTTGTGAATACTTGCATGTAAATGCTGATTTCTTCTCTATTATAGTTAATCTTGCCAGTAGTTTCAGTCCTTACCGAGAAGGCAGACTTATAGAGAAGCGCCTGAGATCCTCGTCAGAAGGCAATGCTGGAAGCAGCAGGATGATCTTAAAACCAAAGGACGGAAACACAGAAGATCTTCATAGCTTGCGGAAGCAGACAGCAGGCTCGTCATCTTCAAAAATGAACAGCCTGGTGAGTGCATTCTTACAGATACACGTTTTTGCAATGGCTTTCATTTCTGTAGTGATTATATGTTTTTGCTTCTAATGACTATTGTAAGTGTGATAGAACACAACAACTATATAGGAATACAAAGCCTTATCCAATGCTGGGATATACAGTACAATACAACACTCAAAACTATAAGATACTTTTCAGAACATAACCTCAGATTGTAGTCAACAGCAAGTATTTCAAAAGTCTGTGTGGACTTTTCTGTTGTGGATTTTTTTTCAGTTGTTATGCAGTGTTCGTATGGCTGGGGATTTCAGGTGGGAACTTCTGGAAAACTTATGATTACCAAATGCTTAGTATTAAAAAAGGAAATAAGTTCAAATACTGGAAGGGGAAAAATGTAGTGCAGTAGTTGTAATTTTAAGTTTATAGGGCCTGATTCTTCAGCAGTTTCATGCTGGTGTGACTCTTACCTCAAGGAGTCACACTGACATACACCTAATGTAACTCAATGGAGAATCGGGCCATAGTCATGTGAAAAGTAAATCACATATAAGAAGGCAAGACTAATTTCAAAGGGCTGAATGCTCCCCTTCCATAAACAAACCAGTGGCGGGGGAAAAATGCTCAAAACTCAGGATAGAGAATCTGTTTTTTGAGAATCCTTCCTCCCCCACTTCAGGATGGGAAGTTGAAAACAAGTATGCTGTCTAAAACCATTACAGAAGATTACTTTTTGAGGCTTGCTTCGAGGTGAAGGGGTGGTATAAGGAGCCTGTTGACTTTTAAAGTTGTCTGCCTTCTTGTAGTCAGTGAGGGTAAAGAACTTAAGGTGAGTGTAATGTACTCTCATGCTTACTCAAGACAATAAGGAGAAGTGTAGAACATGATGCTGCATGCTGAACAAGCTGCAAGCAATGGACAAGTTATGGTTAATAGAGGAAATAACAAAATAAGTCTTGAGCTCAGATAGGTTGCTGTTGTGAGATTGTGAAGGGTTAAATAAGGATTCAGCCTATATAAATATCTGACACACTTGCCATGAAAAGTTTGTAAGAAAGCAACTCCAAGATTTTCCATCCTACTCACCACTTCTGCACATGTCCCTCAATAAGCATGGACATAAAAGAGGAAAATCATCCTCACTATGACCACTACACTGCAGTTAGAGTTAGGGTCCCAGTTGGGATGTCTACAAAGATTACCAGACTATCAGGATTGAACACAATCACCCTTTGAAGGTAGGGTTTTTTGCAGGGCTGTGGATTAATCCAGATGGACACCGACATGTAGGGTGACCAGACAGCAAGTGTGAAAAATCGGGACAGAGAGCGGGGGGTAATAGGAGTCTATATAAGAAAAAGACCCAAAAATCGGGACTGTCCCTATAAAATCGGGACATCTGGTCACCCTACCGACATGTAAAAGGGCTCTCTAGCTGCACGTTCCTTCCACATAGTTTACAAACTGTAATGTCAAAAATGCAACAAATAGACCAGACCATCAAGGGCAACTTCTGTGATTCCCCACAGCTTTCTGGCTTCTGGCTAACCCAACCCCCTTGATTCTTTTCCTTCTGAGATGAACTAAATTAACCTCCAGCTGGGAGTGTCTCCCAGAGCTGACCCTGAGCCCTGTTTGATAATTAACTTCTGGAACAACAGAGGATTGTCTGTCTCAGCAGGACTCCTACAGATATTGCTGAGACAGAAGGTAATGCCGATTTTTAGGCACTCCACCTGGGGGCACCCAAAGACCGGTACAGTGTCACAGTCTGCTCCATCTGGCTAGCAAACTGAATTTGCCATTTCAAAATGAGGGAACAATTGCGCGCTATGTCAGCATTGAAGGTAACCTTATTTGCTGATGACCTCTGCACAGCTTAAGATTTTCTGTTTTGTATGTGCCTGGCTGGGGTCGTCTTGAGTGCTTGACAGAGAAAATAGAAAGAACGGTTGGGTTATCTGACTCTCACATGAATGCTTGCCTCTACACACGCTTTGTATAGCCTATGCAACATTTATTAGCTAAACTTGACCTACAAGAACATCAAGAACTTTTCAGTGTGTATGTGTGCGGTTTTTTTCTCCTCTGTAGCATTCACCAACTGTTTTGATTCATTATTATTTAATTTATTTCATAGCATCTGAAAGAGCACGAGGCAAATCAACAACAACAATAAAGCCAAATATTTTCTGCATGTCTCCCTATTATCCTTTCTAGGATGTTGTCAGTTTGTACAAATGATCTGATATAGAAATGCAAAACCTAAATCTACAGGAAAACGCTACTAATGCACACCAGTGAAATACTACACCCAGAGAAACATAGTAGAGTGCTGAATGGCTAGATAGCTGAAGAGATTTCTCTGTAATTAAAGAGAATAGCTACAGCATGTCTGTCACTTATCCCGGGTAGTTTGCATTCAAAAAAGCAACAAATAAATCAGATGTATAAAAAACAGGATATTCTTAAATTGAAAATGTTTTTATACATCACGATAAGTGTGCCAAGTGCTTTACAGACAAACTAAAGAGCTTACTAACTATAGAGCCAGTCCTTCAAACACTTAGGGACATGCTTAACTGTCCTCTCATTGAAGTGGAAGTGTGCAAGTGAGTAAAATTAAGCATGTGCATAATGATTTGCAGGATCAGGACCAAGTCATTAAACAGATCTTCTTTTCAGTTACGTAGTTGGCTGGTTGCTGATGTCTGAATGTGAGGTTTCACTTGAGTCTTATTCTTAGCCATGTCACTATGTGGGTGGCAACATCTTATCGTCATCTCCCTAAACAATAAGTGGGATTTTGTTTGTTGTTGCATTTTTTTTATTTGAATCGGAAATTCAAATCTTTTTGTATTTACTCTAGCAAGATGATCTCCAAATTGATTAGTGATCATTCTCTGTTCATTTACTACAATCATATATCCAGTGCATTCAGATCAGTTGTAGAGTGGTTTTATGCACTGAAGGCAGAATACCATAACGTGAAAATCCCCTGTACTTCATGCTTAGCAGTCATTATATAGTAACACAAACATTAGCTATAATATCATATATAAAATATAATATTCAGGCTTTTTAGCTGCCTCAGAATGTTTATATATAGGCTAAAAAGCCTGAATATAAAAAAATGAGAAAAGACTTGAAGAAGAAAAAAAAGGGTGGGGTATCCAAGAAACTTGTTGTGACGGGTTGGATCACAGAAACCCCCTTGGGGCTGCCAACTGATGTGCCTTGACTACTTCTGACCCTGCTTTCCCTGCCAGCTTGGGACTCCAGAACCCTGCCTGGTTGTGCCAGACACGCTTGCCAGACCCGGGTCTGAACCACGTCCCACAAACTGCAGCCTTAACTGAAAGCAGCTTAAGAAGTGTTCCTGTCTCTAACATCAGATGCCCAGCTCCTAATGGGATCCAAACCCCAAATAAATCTGTTTTACCTTGTATAAGGCTTATACAGGATATAAGAACTCCTAAATTGTTTGATTTCTATAACACTGATAGAGAGAGATGCACAGCTGTTTGCCTCCCTCCCCCCCCAGTTAATTAATAAATAAGAAGTGGGTTAATTAATAAGTAAGAAGTGATGTTATTAAATAAAAAAAGTAGGGTTTAAGTGTTTCCAAGTAATAACAGAAAGAACAAAGTGAATTACCAAGCAAAATACAATAAAACACGCAAGTCTAAACCTAATACAGTAAGAAGCTGAATACAGATAAAATCTCACCCTCAGAGATGTTCCAATAAGCCTCTTTTACATATTAGCCTCCTTCTAGTCTGGGTCCAGCAATCACTCATATCCCCAGAGTTACTGTCCTTTGTTCCAGTTTCTTTTAGGTATCCTTTGGAGGTGGAGAGGCTATCTCTTGAGCCAGCTGAAGACCAAATGGAGGGGTCTCCCAGGGGTTTAAATAGACTTTCTCTTGTGGGTGGACACCCCTCCTTCCCCCCCACCCCCCGTGTAGAATCCCAGCTACAAGATGGAGTTTTGGAGTCACATGGGCAAGTCACATGTCCATGCATAACTCATAACTTACAGCCGTTGTTCACATGCGTTGTTCACATGCTACCTTGAACGTCCTCAAGTAGACTTCTTATGTGGATTGGAGCCTTCCAAGATCCATTGTCCATTAAGTGTTTCTTGATTGGGCACTTAACTTGCAAATTCCTTTCTAAAGAAGCTGCCCAAATGCCTTAATAAGGCTACTTAAAATCAAACAAGTACACAGCCAATATTCATAATTTCGAATACAAAAACGATATATGCATACAAATAGGATGAATATATTCAGTAGATCATAACCTTTGCAGAGATATGTTACATGGCATATGTAGCATAAAACATATTCCAGTTATGTCATTTACATTCATAAGCATATTTCCATAAAGCATTACGGAGTGCAACGTCACATGTGCATGTTCACAGTAATACGCAGCTGAGCATTAAAATCCAAGAAAGAGCTCTTCAGAATACCTGTCACAAGTGGTTAACACTCAGTTCAAAGAATGTCAACAGAGAATTAATCTTAATAGTTAATATTTTCCAAGTAAAGGAGAGGGGCAAAAAGTTCCAGAAATGAATATTATTAAACAGAGTTGTGTTAAAATAATTAAATATCCTCTCCCCTTCTATTGAGGAATCCCAAAGTATTTTACAAATATCAATGAACAGTTACAGGCCTCTCCTCGCTCCTGTGAAGTAACAAAGAAAATCACAATTTCATATTGTGACACTTTGGATTTCTTTCAGCAAACATTAATAAGCAGTGAGAAAATTCCAATAAGGAGAAATAGATTTGAAAAGAAATATCACTAATTTTAAGTCCCTGTGAAAGTGCCTATGCTTCCCTGATGATGGCACCATTGCTTTTCCAGTCTCCTCTGTGGAGTCAAATGATCACTACAGATAGCAATTTCTTGGCATCATATAGAAGTTGAAGAAGCTTTGTAGCTAGTAGGAGACCCTTTCCACACAATAGAAAGGAAGCCCTTCAAGGCCCTTTTTGTTGTTGT